AACAGCTTCTAAGCTAAGAACCCTAGAAAACCTAAACGGATTTTACTTTTTTGCCCCCAAGTTGTGGGGAGCCTTTCTCTATTTACCGCGACCTGCAGGTTTTCTTGTGGGAGGAGCAGACTCTTCATCGTCTGATTGGACGTCCCCATACTGCCAAATTCCCATTCTACCCTTCTTTGCTTTATCTTGGAACTCTTCGAGGTTGTCAAGGGACGATTTTCTCTCCCTCGTGTCCCATCTATTTTTTCTTTCTAGTCTAGCAAGCCCTTCCTGCGTTAAACAGAAGGAGTTGTTGATTAGATCATAGAGCAAATTATCCCACAAGCTTAAGTCGTTTCATAAGGTTTCAGAGTAAAGCATTTTTATTTATTTGCTAATTAATTTATGCAATGGATAGAGAGAGGAAAGTTTTCTACAGAACTACAAAAAAAAAAGCAATTAAGATATACCATGGGCGAAAAATGTGCAGCAGAAATGAGAACAGTATAAAAAATGTTCTTGAGGATACAATAAGAGAGATATTATAGAGAGTGAGCGCAGCCATACGATATGAGGGGTTGCTTCTATGTACTAAGGACAGAATCAAATCACATACGATGAAGACCACTACATTCACCAGTTAGAAGAGGTAATAAGATATTAAGAGAGAACCATTTAACTCACCCTCTCATTAGGGTTTCCTCCTCCTTTTTTTTTGCTTCCAGGGTTTCTCTCTTACGCTTAGGGTTTCTCCTAGGAATTTTCCTAGGATTAACTATTAAACAAGTGGCTTCAGATCTCTCTACGAAGTAATTTAATCATGGCTCAAGCAAGAGAAGACGTATGGAACACACGTTAAAACTGATGGATAAAGAGGAAGATGGAGTGACCGTGGAGGATATCTCTGCTCTGGAAGAGTTTGTTGTCAGAAAATTTAACTTAGTTGGGAAGCTGTTAGCGAATACGCTATACAATAGAATAGAGAAGCGCTCATCACAACTATGAAGAGGTCGTGGAGGCTAAGAAAAGGTGCAATGTTCAGATATATCGGGAGGGATCTATTCCTTATACAATTTCAAGACGAGATTGAAAGAGGGATAAAGTAATGCTTAAAGGCCTTTGGAAGTTCGACAATGCATTGTTCCTGTTGACGGAGGTACAAGGCAGTGAAAAACCCTCAAATATTCAACTGAAAGCAGCCACGTTCTGGGTCCAAGTGTATGATTTACCGCTAATGCAGATGAGAGGGGGTGTAGCTCGTCGGACTCGCTCGGCAGTTGTAAGGGTTGAGGAAGTGGAGTCAAAGGATGGGGAAGATTATATTGGTTAGTTTATCTCAATAACAACCACTATCAACATTACAAAACACATTGTGTGATGATGGGTTTAGGTGGGGAAAAGAAGTCATGGGTTGCATTGAAATATTAAAGACTTGCTACTTTTTGTTTTTGCTGTGGGATATTGGGTCACACTGAGGGATTGCAACATAGCATTCAAACAACGGCAGGAAACGGAAGGAGTTGCGATCCAGTATGGACTATGAATGCGAGCACCAAACTTGATCCAAAGAGGATCTTCTACACAACTTTTGGGAGAGAACAAGAGGGATAGAAGTCCAAGTAGTCGAGGATGACGGAAATCATGAAGAAATCAGAGAAGGGGAGGAGGTGGGGGGAGAAGAGCTTGTGCCTGACACTATTCATCATCCAAACTCCATAGATAAATTAAGGGACATTGCTTGGAGGACAAGTGGAGATGACAGAAGGGAACCAATCAAAATTACCAATG